GCTGTTTGGAATCTTGATCTTGGTTTTATTTGCTTTTTTCACATTTCTCTCTTGTTTTTCACCCTGACCTTTTTTGGTTTTGAGGGGCCTTTTTAAATGTTGTTCTGTGTTTTTTCTTAAACTTGTCTTGAAAAAAGTCCAATAAACATTGCTATTTTTCATGCAACCTTACATAGTGCATGAAATACAAATACAGCTATGCACCTCTTGTCACTAAGACATGTGAGTGCTTTCTTTCTTTGGATTTACATTGTGACCTGCACCCAGGCTAGTGACCACTTCCGTGTGTGTATTTTATTTATTTTTTGTCTACCAAACTAAATGCAAGCACCTCTTTATACTCTATATTTTCTCTTCCAATGGTAGCGTGACAGACTATAAATTATATAATATTTTTCAGTCATGCAATTTTGTAGAATGCGAAGCTGCAGATTTTTTGAGAATTTATTCTCAACTATTTCAAAATAATGAGATGAGCATCTTGCACATTTATTCATGAAAATTTCATATTCCTTTCACGTGATAGGAATAGACATATATTGAATGTCTTTTTATATAACCTATTGATGTAACAATAAGGAGTTTCAGAATTTATGCCATAGACCAACATAACAAGGAACTGTTAAGTGTAACAGAAGAACGAAAATTGGTGGCATACACACCTGTCAGGCTCCAGTGAAAAGTCATTAATATACTTCATTGGTATTGGTCTCACATTTACACGTTGTGTTCCTCTTAAGGTTATACACATACACAGTGTGGCTAGACACAAGCCATAAATGGATAACACACACATTTATGCATTTAGTAAAAAATAAAACAAATGTGGAAAAAAAGTGGGCACATCATCAGGATTTAGTGCATTTTCCCCATGTGGATAAATATTATGTAGTCGTCATACAATCTTTGCCTTCTCAAAGGAATTAATTAATTACTAGAAGATACACAACTATAGGATTCCTCTAAAAATCATACTCATTTACTAAACAAAAAAATAAATTGCGCAGACTTTCTCATGTTTACTTAAAAGCCTTAAGGCAGACCAAACACCAGATTTATTACAGGTCTGACATGGAACTTAACAAATCCACAAATTAAATTCACCTGCATTTTGCAGGCAAATTTGTTAAAATCCTTACGGTTTGTATGCATCCAGAAAGCAAATCGCTAAAAGAAAATAATAATAATTTAAGGTTGTGGTGGCTGACCAGCTCTCATAAGATGGTCACATATAAAAAAAATGACATGCCTATCAGGAGGAATACGTCTTCCTTTAACCCCAAGCTTGGGGGTATGTCTATTATATGGTGAACAGCCATTGGCTGCTCAACTAGTTAATCCCCTGAGCAGTGAGATGGGGGTATAGTAATAATGAGAATCTCATAAAAGTTGGGGGTTAAATTGAAATAGTGATTGTGTTACTGTGACTGCCCAGCTGCAAGAGACCCCATTCCATCAGTGGCTTGTGGAGGCATATTAATAGTGTTGGAGGGTGCTATTTTTTTGGATGTCCATTTTCAAGGGGAAAAGATGTGGGATATTTAAGGTTAATAATGCTGTATCGGCAAGGCCTGCATCATTCTTTTCCATATAGAGATGTGGGTTAATCATATGGTATACCACTACTCCTCTCTGGACTACAACCCCTGTGATGCTCTGCTTTAAGTAACATGTGAACTGCAGTTCTAGTACAGCTGAGGGTATACAAATAGTTAAACCTCACAATTATGAAAAAAACTACATTGTATTTCAGCCAAGGAATAGTGGCATAGGGTAGAGGCAAGGACTTTCCCCCCATTAGTATCAGGTGGACTTGTCATCTACTGACGCTACTGTGGGGGCTTTTAACAGGGGTTGATATGGAGAGCAGCTATTTTTGTTAGGCCCCACCTGGTGTGGGCAGAGGGTGTCCACCCCATATCCTTTTTTAATATACTTTCTTCCACAGCTATTGGGTATTCACCCCCCACTGCCACCATTTAATTCTCTAGACACACTTTTGTCTGTTTATCTGGCTGAATGTCAATATAATGCAAATAGACAATATGTGTGTATTTGATTATCCAGACAGCAAAACCTTTTATTGCCGTGTACTCTATAAAGGTTTACATTTTGTAAAATCTGTACAGAAAAACACCTTATTGTACACCCTTATGAAATGTGCTATACATAATTATGTGAATATATGACAGCAATATGCAAGTCTGAATCCTATTACCATATACATGTTCTCTCTTTGAAGTTGCACTGACAGAATTTCAGATGGCTCATGTTGCTGAGGAGCTTGCTGTTTAGTCACCTTTACTAAGGCAGTCTAATGCTTACCTAGAGAATCTGGAAAAAGGATTTATATGTTTGTTTTTACCTTTATCTCACTCTTGTTAACAGTATCTCATTTTAAACTGCATTTATTCACAAATACTCCCAAAAGCCACAAAGACAGGCAGACTGTAAAACTGTTACCCAGAGTTATGATTAAATATTCTTTATATAAATATAATTTATTGTGGGATTTGGCTGTCCCTTAAAATCGATTTTTATTATTTTTTTATTATTTTCACTTTTTTTTTAATATGCCTTTATTTTAATTTTGGCTTTTGTTTCAGGGGAAAGCAACAGTTTTAAGGAATATTGATTGGACACATTCGTAATTAGCGTAGAAATAACCATGAGCCCTCTGAAAGACTTGCAGTACCTCTCTTCTAAAGGGTACTTATTGTCTTGGCAGTGCCTTTTAAAAGTTATAGTCCTTCTAGCTTTGTTTTGAATTATTGCATGCATGAGTTGGAAAGCTTTTAAAGGGACACTATAGTCACCAGAACTACAGCTTATTGCCGTTGTTCTGGTGAGTAGAATCATTCCCTTCAGGCTTTTTGCAGTAAACACTGTCTTTTAAGAAAAAATGCAGTGTTTACATTACAGCCTAGTGATGCCTCAACTGGCCGCTCCTCAGACGGCTACTAGAGGTGCTTCCTGCGGCAGTGCTGCAAAGTGTGCTGCACTGCCGTTCAGTGTCTCCACCCTCTGCATGCAGACACTGAACTTTTCTCATATAGATGCATTGATTCAATTCCTCTCTATGAGGAGATGCTGATTGGCCAGGGCTGTGTTTGACTTGTGCTGGCTCTGTCCCTAATCTGCCTCCTTGACAGTCTCAGCCAATCCTATGGTGAAGCATTGTGATTGGCTCAGATTACCACTTCTGATGATGTCAGCAGACACATGCAGCTTCAGAGGCAAACAGGGGCAGAGGTAGCAGCTGCAGACTTGAATACAAGTACAATTTTACTATATTTAGGGAGTCGGGGCTATATTTAGGGAGTCAGGGTTTTCACACTATAGGGTCAGGAATATGTGTTTATGTTCCTGACCCTACAGTGCTCCTTTAATTGAAACAGATGTGGGTCCAGGGTTCATACCAGTGCAAGTGCCCTCCCTAAGAGGGTGCCCAACACATACCAATGTCAGGTACCCATATATTAGTTATTTTCTGGGCTGCCTGATGTCAACTCTGCAAAAATTACATCTATGGTCCATGCACACGGCAGTACTTTATTATGTTTGCTTGCTTTAAAAAAATAAATATATATTTTATATATATATATATATATATATATATATATATATATATATATATATCTGTCACTCTGTCCCCTACCTGCATCAGAGCATGTGCATGTGCTCGGAGCTGCTGGGAAGATCAGTCAAGTAAAATGCATTTTAATGGACCACAGAGAGTGAAGGAGTAATGTGAGGGTGTGGAATCCAGCGAGGGAAGCTTCACCCCGTGTTGGATTCCAGGTAAGTTTATTCTTAATTTACAGGTTTATACAGGGGTGACCTACTTACTAATGCTCAGTAGGGCATTCTAAGATTAAAAAATAAAAAATCTTTAGATATAAAGCGTTGGAGTAGCCCTTCAAGCTGTGTTTTATGTCTGAAATGGATTTTCTGAAAACCATAGGTTTAAGGAGAATCTAGTCTATTCATTTTAATTTTTTTTTTTAATTTTTTTTATCGTCTGATAAAGATTCTTTAGGCCAGTGATGGTGAACCTATGGCACTCGTGCTACAGGTGGCACGCAGAGCCCCCTCTGTGGGCACGCGGCCATAGGTCGCCGGAGGGAGGGAAGGTGCGCTCCGGAGTGACCGGCAGGAGGTGAACGCATAAAGCACAGCGGTCCCTCCTGCCAGGCACTCTGTGTAGCGTGGCTGAGCGCACCGCGGTACAGGAACTTATGTTTCCTGTACCCGGGCGGACAGAAATTAAGTGCTCACAGAGAGAGCACTTCCTGTCAGCCGGGTACAGGAAACTGAGCTCCGCGGTGCGCTCGGCCACGCTACAAGGTAGGAGC